GTGAGTTTTTTTCAATTTGGTTAGGAGCCTACTTCAATGAGATGAACTTCTTGACCTACCTGGAAATGCATTGTCTGTTTCTCCTTGCCAGCTTCCTGTCTTTTAACACTTGCTTAATTCTGGATGAGCAGGGCTAAAAATGGAAGTCTTTCCTCCTTAACCTTTTGCAATAACTGGAAAGCAGGGATGGGAATTAAGGAAATACTGACAGGTTTGTTCCCCTGCTTGGCATCTTCAGACTAATTGAAGTTGGCAGCTAGGAGTCTAGGGTGCAATCCATGTTGAAAGCTGAATACCATGGCTCATGCAAACAAATCAGGAATAGTGTTCACCTTGACGAAGTTGACCTGCATGTGAATGCAAATACACACACACACACACACACACACACACACACACAAGAAATATTAGCTTTTTTCTCTTGCCTTGTGGATCTGTTCTTGAAATCCCTACCCCTTGAAGTATGCAGGTGACTGTCCTCTGGTAGTAGCACAGCTGGAATTCCTTTCAGATTTTCATCTGTATGCTTCTCATTTTGAAACAGTGCCTACAACTCAGTGTGCTCTACTGTATTTAATTGTGGGTTTTTGCTTAGTTGTGCCTTTCTTTCCTTTTACCACGCCTCCCACAAATGCATGTATTGTGGTCTTTGTGGAGTTCTTTGACTGCCAGAAGCAGAAAAAATGCTTTTGCAATACTAGTAATCAATGCTATTGTTTTTACTGTTGTCATCCTATGTTTTAGAAGAAGAAGAGAGTTTTAACAATTGAGAAATATGAGGTATATGCAGGCATTTCAGGAATGATCACTCAGAAGATCCAGAATATTGCTAAGTGAGACAGCAGGATCAATTAAGTAGGCAACAAGGGGAATGGTTTCCAAAAAGCCCAAGAGGATCCTTTCACTTCTTTGTTCTTGGAAGAGCCAAATGGGCTATATAGTCTTTGCAACCCATTCAGACATTACCAAGTAATGGAGAAGTCATGATCTTGAAGTCCATATGCATGGATATTAAGAATATGTACTTTATTATGTTCACACCTCTAGGCTACACTTGGATGCAGCATTGGAGACATTGTCTCAGAATGCATTTTAGCAATGTACTCTGGAAAGAGATAATTGCAACAGTTATTTGCATTTGAATAACTTCATATTTAGTTTATCTCAGCATGTTATATATGGGATGACTTTGCAGATGGTCCACAAACCAGAACATGTAGACACAGACAGAGGAAGGCATAGATAGATGAGTGGTGCCATGCCCCAGCATCTAATCTTTATATACTGCTGTTGCTCTCTAGCCCCATCCAGTGGCCGGAGGGAAAAATATGTCCCAACATACGATCTTTAGAACAAGTGATTTGTTTTCTCTATATGTCCACAGAAGTTTAGACAATTTTTCTCCCATTGGTATGGAGAAAAATAATAGGTTCACTTTGAGATGCAAGTCAGTAAATTGCTACATGAGCCCATGCACCTATTTCAAGTAGCCTCTTCCGGATGGGTCTAATATATGTTCTGGCTATTAGTGAAAATGAGAATTAAAACCCTTGGAAGAATTGTTCAACTAAATAAATTGTTCCCATGCATTGGCCCTATATGCTAGCTCCAGCACCATACAGAAATTGTGACATCAAAAGGACAAAGAATAAAGAGCTGCTATAATCATTATGAACAATCATAATTTTGATCTGGCTTTTTCTATTGTAGTTTCTGCGGTGCCGATAAGTAAGAATCATTTTTCCTTCTACTATGATGACACAAGTGGTAAATATTCTCTATTGATTATTTCTCATTCATTCATACATTAAAGTATTAGGAGTCTGGTTGGCATTCATTGTAGTATATACTGTCTACTACTGTTCTTTTGTGTAACTATTTCTTAAACACAGCTAAGGTTTTTTTCAAAAAAAAATATGGCACAGAACACAAAGATTGCATTTCCCATACAAAACTCTTTTCTCATGCAAACTTAAACTCCTATCTTATTCTATTAGCTTCCTATTACTATAATTTTGCAATTATTCTACTTCTATTCTTATTTAATCTATACATTTCCATCTCTTATGTTCTATTTTGATGTCCCTATTTCTATATTGGCATTGTTTTCGTCTCTTAACTATTTCTTTAGCAGTGTGCAGCAGCTGCTAAAAAAGCCAACACGGTTCTAGGCTGCATAAACAGAGGGATAGTATCAAGATCAAGTAAAGTGTTAATACCACTTTATAATGCCTTGGTAAAGCCACACTTGGAATACTGCATTCAGTTTTGGTCACCACAATGTAGAAAAGATGTGGAAACTCTAGAAAGAGTGCAGAGAAGAGCAACAAAGATGATTAGTGGACTGGAGGCTAAAACATATGAAGAACGGTTGCAGGAACTGGGTATGTCTAGTTTGATGAAAAGAAGGACTAGGGGAGACATGATAGCAGTGTTCCAATATCTCAGGGGTTGCCACAAAGAACAGGGAGTCAAGGTATACTCCAAAGCAACTGGAAGTGTTTAAGAAGACTTATTGGATAGCCATTTGTCTGAAATGGTATAGAGTTTCCTGCCTAGGCAGGGGTTGGACTAGAAGACCTCCAAGGTCCCTTCCAACTCTGCTATTGTATTGTAAGGACTAGGGGAGAGATGATAGCAGTGTTCCAATATCTCAGGGGTTGCCACAAAGAACAGGGAGTCAAGGTATACTCCAAAGCAACTGGAAGTGTTTAAGAAGACTTATTGGATAGCCATTTGTCTGAAATGGTATAGGGTTTCCTGTCTAGGCAGGGGGTTGGACTAGAACAGTGTTTTTCAACCACTGTGCCGCGGCACACTAGTGTGCCGTGACATAGTGTAAGGTGTGCCGTGGGAGAATTACTTTATATATAGTCAATATAGGCACAGAGTTAAATTTTTTAAACATTTTCTAATGGTGGTGTGCCTCGTGATTTTTTTCATGAAAAAAGTGTGCCTTTGCACAAAAAAGGTTGAAAAACACTGGACTAGAAGACCTCCAAGGTCCCTTTCAACTCTGCTATTCTATCCCATTCTGTTCTGTTCTATTCTTCTTTAAATCACACACATACACAGGATCCTCAGCTCTTTTAGCCATTCTCAGTCCATGTGCATCTAAAAACTCTTCACTCCTTTTTAGACTTGGGGATTGGCTTTTCTCTCCCCCCCCCACCCCCCCACAGCCCTCCTAAAGCTGGACCTGGTTTGCAGAGATCTGCACCTAAGTTGTTTCAGGCAAGTAAGCTCAGCTTTATTTTGTTTGGTATTGAAGACCCATCCGGCTCTTGTCCTCCGTTTCTCAGCTCTGCCTCTCAGTGGAGTTGCAGGTCCCAAAATTGATGGTTTCTCTCAGTGGAGTTGCAGGTCCCAAAATTGATGGTTTCTCTTGCCATCTGAAAACTGCTGCTGTGGTGCTTGCCCTTCAGTTGGAATTCCTTTTCCTCTTTTATCACTGCTGTCTTCTGAGCTTGACTCTTTCTCAACCCTGACACACCTGCTCATTTTCAATTCCCTTTTTTTGAAAGGCTCCAGGGAAGGAGCAGGTGGGGCTGTTTTGACCCTCTTTCCCAGGTAGCACTCAAAGCTCAGGGCCACAGACGAAGAAAAAAATACCTGCTCACTCCAGGTGGTGAGTTCACTTTTCCACATTCACACAACATAAAAAGGGAGGAGTGGGAGATTCTCCATCCCAGAGACTTGATGAGATGAATGCAGATGATGTTGTGGCAATTTGATATATTGGTGATGGCAAAAGGCAGATTGATTTCTTTTTTATTTTGCAGTGGTAAATTAAGATGGCATTACCTGAAACAGGAATGCAATGAAATTTCATTTTTAATGTATGCCAATTAATGTACATTCAAAGTGACAATAAAGTTATTCTATTCTATTCTGTGTAGGGATGGGGTGGCTCAGTGGCTAAGATGCTGAGCTTGTCAATCACAAAGGTTGGCAGTTTGATGGTTTGAATCCCTAGCGCTGCATAACGGAGTGAGCTCCCATTACTTGTCCCAGCTTCTGCCAACCTAGCAGTTTGAAAGCACGTAGAAATGCAAGTAGAAAAATAGGGACCACCTTTGGTGGAAAGGTAACAGCATTCCATGCACCTTTGGCATTTAGTCATGGAGACATCTTCGGACAGTGCTGGCTCTTCAGCTTTGAAACGGAGATGAGCACCGCCCCCTAGAGTCAGGAACAACTAGCACATGTGTGCAAGGGGAACCTTTACTTTATTCTATTTTGTTCTACTTATGTACTTCGCAAGATGTGCTGGCTCTGTAGAGTTAATAGACTTCGTAGCTGAGATTTTATGTTGAGACAAGATTTTAATGATATATGAAGTCTATGCAGAGGTATTTTGCTTCTGAATAATTTCTTGAGGTCAGGAGTCATGCAGGATTTATCATTTGAAATGCTTTGTGCTCAGAAAACAACCTGAACGCTTCATAAATACAGAAGGAACCCTCTATGTTATGCTTGCTTGGCATGCCAGCTGAGAGAAGAAAGGTCAGCATTCAGGAGAGGAAGGGAAGAAGAGAAAGTTCAGAGGAAAGGATGCTTGTTACCATAGCTACAGACTCTACTGTTTTTCAAGCACTGGGGTGGGTCAACTCGTGTGACACTGGTAAGGGGATTGCACCTGTAATGCTCTTTCGAGATACTGTGTATCTTTGGTGAGCAATAAGGACTGGGCTGTTAATCACTACAAGTTTTAAAATGCCTTGCCTGTCTCTTGACTCTGGCTGGCTTGTTATCACTCCCAATTAAATACATTTTTAAAGATTAATTTAGATAGTGCCAAACTGAATATTTCTGATACACAGAAAGCTATAAAAATGTGATTGAGTTTCTAATAGTAACAATAACAACTGCAGAATGTAAAATTGGAAGCAGTTTTTGAAATATTGATGGCACATAAAATGGATTTTTCCCCCTCCTCCAGAAAGGAATAGCCATTGTGTTGAAATAGAGGTTATAACTTAGTAAGGGATAAAGAAGTACAACTAGTGCTGTTGTGTTTTCAGATGGATTTCCATCTTCATGAAAGTGGCAATGGTCTAAGGGTGGGGGGAAAACTGTTCTTGAATATTTTGCACAATCGGGGCTGCCTTCATATTTCTTAGATTTCTCCATATGTTGGCTTGGCTCAACTTGTGGTCCACTACTCTTCCCAGAGATGTAAAAGTTTAAAAATTTGGAGGGGGGAGGTGAATTCTAGTGCACACCAATATATTTTAAAAGATAATAAACCACGTCCTTGAAAAAAAACACCATATGACTTTTTATTGAAACAAATAAAAAAAAACAGAATGAGAAATGAGGCTCAACAAAGAATCAAAGCAAACAAAGACACTTGGGGTGAGAGAGAGAGTGAAATATAATATATTTAAACAATTATATTCAGTAATTTTACTCAGACATTTGTACAGAATATTAATGTAGCTAATTAATTGAGAGGATATTTAAATGCATCTACGCTTAATTAAAGGTTCTTCAAAGCTCTTTTCTGCACTTTTAGATAGCATTTATGCAAATAAAGTTTTTCAGTTTTCCTTTGTTTGGTTTGACATAGTACATCTGGCACTAATTGTAAGCTCTGTATTGTGCTGCAGCAATTAATAAATTGTAGGAAAAATAGCCAAAGAACATTGGTAGGCTTAACAGTTAAACATCTTTCAGTACCATGGACAAGGCTGGTTGCTTGTAAACCTATTTCTAAACTGTTACTCCAGCACAAATTTTGAAGTATCTTTGGGTTTAGTATAAATTGCATGAGGTTGTACAACCATCCCATGATAAATTATTTCAATCTGATTTAGTTCACCAATTTATTATATTTCCATAATTTTCCTCTTGATTATTATCTTTGTTTCTTGGTTTTCTCCTTTATTCGTGCTCTTACAGGTAGTCCTCGACTTATGATGACAATTGAGCCCAGAATTTATATTGCTAAGTGAGAAATTAGTTAAGTGAGTTTTGCCCCATTTTACAACATGCCACATTTGTTAAGTGAATCACTGCTGTTGTTAAATTAGCAATGCGGTTGTTAATCAGACTTCCCCATTGACTTTGTCAGAAAGTTACAAAGGTGGTCACATGACCCCAGGACACTGCAACCATCATAAATATGAACCAGTTGACAAGCATCCAAATGTAAATCACGTGATCGTGGGGTTGCTACAATGGTCATAAGTGTGAAAAATGGCCATAGGTCATTTTTTTTAGTGCTATTGTACTTTTGAATGTACACTAAACGAACAGTTGTAAGCTGAAGACTACCTGTATTTTTCATCCTTCTTATCTATAAGAATTTAGATGAGTTATTTATTTGTTTGTTTCTTGGAAACCCATCTGTAGGTTGATAATGCTATAGGATATGGTCAATAAAATTGTGTGACATCAGTAGAAAAATAACAATTCTGTAAACATAATTACATCCAGACATATAATATAATTGTTGATTTAGTAAAGTAGAGAAGATGAAAAGATTGGTAGGCTACGGTCAAGATATATCAATAATGGGAATTATGAAACTATTACAGGGATTGTGTGTACCTGTCCTGTGGGTGATGCTGGCGTTGCTGCCAGTTCGTTTCATGCACACTTAGAGTATTATGTGCTCTAAGACTGACTTTGAGATGGGATTGTGAACAAATGATGAACATGTGATTGCTGAAATGTGTAACCTTTCATTGAAATTTGAAAGAGAAAAACAAGCGAAAGGATATACGATGAAGTGGACTAATATTTTATATACGGAATGTTGGGAAATGTATGGTTTAACGGATTGAAGTTTACTACAATCTTAAGGAGAACTTTTATAAAATAATATACCACTGCTGCACAATACCAGAAAATTATTCAGAAAGTATAAAGATAGTTCAAAGCCATGGTAGAACTGTGAATAATAGGAAGAATCATTTTACCATGCTTGGTGGACATGTAAAAAGCAATAAAGAAGATTTTGGGTACAAATGCATCAGTGATTCAGAGGGTTTTAAATATTAATATGCAACTAATTGTATATTAATATACAAGCAGTTTTCCTCATAGGATTTTTTTTTAATGGTTAATTGTTTGGAGGGAAATCATGGAAGTTTGTTCTTATATATAATAACTGCATCAGTATAATTTTTATGTTTTGTGTGATTTATCACAGAAATTATCTTATTTATCTTTTCAAAGAGGGAAAGGTTTGGCAATACTTTCTATTGCAGAATGGTTGATGAAGATGATATAACTTGCTAAAATGGCCAGATTGACCTGTTTGATAAGAGAAAATACAATATCTACATTTATTGCTGACTGAAAATCCTTTATGACTTTTTTGTGTAAAACAGAAAAAAATGAATTTATGATCTATAGTTTTAACTATTAGATAGGATAAATTATAGAAAAAAAGAGACTCATGGTGTAACTTTTGAAAAAGAGGTAAATCTACAGTTGTACTTCTAACTGCTCTAAAGAAGATCAGAAGCCATTTCTTTATTTTTCTTTAATGTTTTCCATTTTTCTTCTAGTCCTTTTCTTTTTCTTTCTTCCTCTCTTTTCTCCTTCTTTACTTTATTTTAGATTGTATTATTTTTCTCTTACTTTTAAAACTTCGAGAAAATTATATTAGGAAAAAACCCTCAGATACCACATGAAACTTAGTTTTTTAAAAAAAGGACTGCCAAAGTTAAATGAATGTCACTTTTCCCCCAATTGCTGAGTTTGCTAGTAATGTTCATAAAATCTCTTGTTATGCCCACTGCCTGTCACTATAGGCAAGCCACAGTAGGATCCATTTTTTTAGTCATTTATAAGGTGAAGTATATAGTACCAATGCCCTGAGGCATTTTGATTCCATTCCAATTCTGAAAAATAAAACTTTATCCAGCCTGCTCATCAATCCCATGTTGATAAAAACTGTTTATTTTCCTGAAAACATGGGCATGTCTTTCCTCTTTATACGAGAAAAATATCTCGGGAAAGAAAAAACAATGAAATAAATTAAAACATAGGATAAAATATATGCTGGGACACACAAAAGCTGAAATGTATGTGTTTGCATCATAGTAGAAGAGATTAACAGATAACAGCTGAGGGTTTATTCAGGGGTGGTATATACTTACCTTCCCTACCGGTTCACAATTGTGAGTGCGCACATGCGCAGATCCTTCCGCGCACGCGCTTTGGGTGGAAAAGAGGCCTAAATGGGATGCCATAGAGCCGGGTGCGGGTGGGTGGAGTCACCTGAAATTTCCGCTACCGGTTCAGGTGATGCGGTCTGATAGAACATGGCCTCTGGGTTTATTCTTCCCTGCAATATGAGTAAATAAGTAAAAATATTTGTGTTTTCATCCAAGTTTTGGTTTTTGGGGAGGAAAGCTAATGATTTTTGCATTTGTCTCTTCCAAGCTGGGTTGATAGCAATGAGTGCTACAAAAGCACACATTGATTTCCTTCCCTTGATCAACATATTTTATGTTGTTCTTTTTTATCTACTGAAATCTTGAATTGTTTCTATAGAAGTCTAACACAATAAAAACTATGAGTTTCTTCATGAATGATAATTAATAAGATTAACGCTCACTGCAAACTCCGGTACAACAGAGATGTTCAAAAAGAATAAATAAAAACTTGATATTTTGAGAAATACGTTTCACATGCAGCTTTTTCTCTCTTTTGAAACATTAAAATACAAGTCCAAATTGTGACATTTTTTGGACACTGATCTGCTCATGGCAAAAGAAGAAGCAATGAACGGGAGAGATACACAACATAATGATTTCATAATCTAGGAAGTCATAAAAGGAAGCATGTATATTTAATAAATGTATGAGTCATATTTCAGATAATAAACCCTCAAAATGACCTAAATAGAAAATTCATGTTTAAATTACCAAGGCCACAATCCAGCCAAAATATAAGGATGATTAAACTTCAGAGGGTTATATGTCCCATAGGTTGCACTTAAGTATAATATTGCAAACAGTTAAAAAAGAAAAGTAGTTCCAATATTTTCTGTAAGCCACATTTTTGCAAAGAGAATGAACTTGCCCTCCCCTTATTCTGTTTCATTCAGATTTTACATATTAAAAAGCAAAACATAAAATTATGAGAAGAAAAATGTATTGGTTGTATCCTCTGCCATGCTTTGTAATGTATCACAGTTTCCTATAAGATTCAGAAACTGATTTTTTTTAAATATACAAGATGAAACTGTTTTGTAAACAATAGACAAATGGCAGAAATCTTCACAGATAGAAAACAAGCAGATGTTGACTTTAAAAGACACCTGAAAAAAATCCAGGATTTAAATCTATGGGTTAATATACTGTATATAGAGGGCAAGATTCTGGTGTGCTTTTTGATGATGAGTTTCTTCCTCTTTTAAATTCCTAGGTTTTTGTAATAAATCTACATATAAAATCTTGTGTCTCTCTGGGAATGGAAATATAGAAAGTGTATCAACTGCTACAAAGCCTGGATAATTCTGGTGAACAATTTATAGGATGAATGCAAATGTGGCCCTTGAAAAAGAAACAAAACCAATTAATTTCCAAATCCAGCCCTTTTGCTATTGATTTTGGCCTTGTCCTCTTACTAATATATTGGAGACTCACTGTATATCCATGTTTTCTTCCACAGAGGTGGTAGAAAGAAAACTGACTATGGAGGAAGAGGAAGCCAAACGTATTGCAGAAATGGGAAAGCCAATACTGGGTGGACATCCAAAACTGGAGGTCATCATTGAAGAGTCCTATGAGTTCAAGGTCAGTGCTGTGCACTCAGGGTTTTGCAGGAAGGGAGGGAAGGAAAAGCAGGAAAGGAACTAAACAGAAAAATTGGTTAGCAGAGCTAAGCAGAAGAAAGGAAGAGGACCGAAAGGAAAAGGGAAGAAGAGGGTTGCAAGGATTGCTGAGCTAAGGCGAAAGTCTTAGTCCTGGGAGGGAAGAGAAGACAATGAGAAAAATAAATGAAAGGAGGTCAGGGAAAGAGAGAGCAAGGCTGAAAGAAAGTAATTAAGAGATGTTTTGAAGAATACAGTCCTACTTTAACAATATGGCTGCGTCCAGAGGTTTCACCACTATCTTCTAAACAGTGAGGGATGGAAAGTCCTACATCAGAAGGTGGGTTAGGTTGCTACTTTGAATTATTTATAAAAAAAATAGAGACAGGACATAAAAAAAGAATCAAATAAATAATAAAATATTCATGCATTCAAGATACATAACTAAGAACCGACTAAACCAAACGTGTGATTGTTTCTAGCTAAAAGAATTATCACTCTGATGTATGTGAGAAATTAACAGGCAAATATGCTAAATTTTATTCTGCTGTTTTCAGTTGCTAATCCTTACAGTCAAATGACTCCAAGGCCAAACTGGCATGCCCTTACATCTAGCTGAAACAGGTTTCTGTCTCTCTGAAGGTTGGTTGCCCTGGAAATTGTTTTTAGCAGACACGTCTGCCTCAATCCAGGTCAAGTCTGCTAAGACTCATAAAACACTGTAGAGGAACTTGAGCTTGCTAAGTTCATGCCATTATGAAAGGGATTTACTGTATGAATGGGGGGGGAAATTATCCATTGACAGAATACCATTGCGGGCTGTGAAAGAAGAATAGCATTTACCAAGAAGGGAGAAAGTTGTATATGAATAAAGAAGCAGAAGGTGCCCTTTTTCTTAATGATGCAACAATGACTTTTGGCAAACAACCTTGTTATAAAATGACTTCCTGACCTACTTACAGTTTGATGTTTATACCTTTCATTTCTTTTCTTTATTCTTTTCACGGACATTATCTGTGGCTTAAGTTAGCTTCTTGCGATTAATGCTTTTTTAAAGAGTTCACGCTACAATTACAAGGAAACCTATAAGGAATGGAAATTCTGGGTCATGTGATCATAAAACCCTTGGAAGACACCTGCATGGAAAAGCTACCTGACACCTTCAGTCAACCTCCACATTGACTGAGAGATGCTCCAAAGGCAGCCCTTTAGTAAAATCAATCTTCTTTGTGTCCTTCTAATTGACAGAGTACAGTGGACAAGCTCATCAAGAAGACAAACTTGGCGTTGGTTGTAGGAACTCATTCATGGAGAGACCAGTTCATAGAAGCCATCACCGTCAGTGCAGGTGAGACAAAGTAAATGCCTTGTACTCAGCCAAGGAAACAATCACCCAGAGACACAGGAGAATTCTAACATGAATTCTTACTTTGGGAGTTTTTATGAAGTTCTTGCTCCTCAATAGATGTTATGAGCAGCTGAAAGTGTTCAACTTGCTTGACTTTGGTTTGACTTTTTGGGGAGGGGGAGTTCCATGCACTGGATAGTAAATGAGTATATATTAAGTCTGATAATAAAGAATGTTTGGTTAATTACTTGCTTTTTTAACTGTTACTTAACAGCGTAGTGTTCCAAAAAATCACTGAATGGTGGAATTTCGAGGCTATGTAAAATCACAATAAAAAGAAAGGTTACCGTTTAATAAAGAAAAGTTTTTCACTGATTATTCGAAAGGAACAGTTTTTAAAAAATAATTCCTGTTACTGTAATTTTCCAGAATCAGAGTAGGTAAAATTAATTCCTTTAATTCTCATTGCCAGTAGTTAACATTCCCACACTATTATAATTGTTCTTGACTGATCAGTTGGGTTTAATTTTGAGTAATCCAGCTATTTTTATTTAAATAATGTACTAAAATTTAACTAGTTGATTTATCCATTCACTTAAATTAGAATGCTTAATCCTTTGGCTAGACTTTGATAACGCATTTCAACACATATCACAGAACCTGCTTCCTTAGTGATAAACAGTGCTTTAAATCCACATACTTCTGTGGCTAGGCACCATAAGGACTTATGTTTTAAGTGAACTACATAGTTTGCAAATAATCATAGTATCCTGTTGCAAATGTTAGAGTGCTTCTAAGCTGGATACTAGCATTCTTCCTGGGAAAAGAGTTCATTTCCAGTAAGACTACATTTTCTGCCGGATGTGATCTTCCCAGAGACAATGAGAAAAGTGCAAGGAAAATCCCAGGCATTCTGTTTATGAAAGTATTCTCACTATCAACTGTGGGACTTCCTTGCTAAGGGCAGTTTGCACTTCAACACTTATTGTGTCTCTCACACTCTTCTTTTCTTCCTTCCCTATTTGAGCATGGCTTAGGGAATACTCTGCCTGCAGCACAAATCACTCATTCCCCCCCTAATAAAAACCATCAGAATCAATAGGATCTGTTTTCGCAAAGGGCTGTTTTATATCAAACTGCCGATTTGTGGTTCCCATACCTCTCCTTTGCCTGTTCCCAGTTTATTTTATCCTTGCTTTGTGCAACATGCTTCTTGTTATAGTGCATATTATTAAACAAGTTCTTCTCAAGATTGCTCTGTTCAAGTCTCCAATCTCAGGATTTTGCCCTCATCCAGGGGTGCGCTTCAAAAAATACAGCAAACGGTTTTCTGCTCAGTTGCTGGGTGGGAGTAGACATGGTGGGTGTGGCCTAGTGGGCCTCCTGCATCACAGGGGGGGGGCGTTCTCGCCTTCCCCAGGCTCCGTAGGCTTTCCTTGAGCCTCTGGGAGGACAAACACTGCCTCCTCCGGGCTCTGGAAGCCTTCTGGGAGACCCATTTTTCCCCTCCCTGAGCTTCCAGGTGGGCCCTGCACTTACCTCACATCCAAAATGGGCCAAGTGGAGACTCCTAGGAGGAGTGTAGTGGGGTGACAGGTGCGGGGAATGGTGGGCAGGGCCAGCCAGGGGTGGGATTTGGAGGTTCTCCGAACCACCCCATAACATTAACTACGGGTTCTCCCGAACCTGGGCGAACCTGTAGCAGCCCAGCCCTGCCCTCATCCAAGGTGGTCAGCTGCCAGTGCCAAATATGCCAGGACACAGTGATGTTTAGGTACAAAACATTCTATATTTGATCTACTGCTACTTATTGTGTTGATGGGAAACCTTGCCACTAGCAAAGACAGGCTGAAAAACAGGAGCTCCTACATTTTGTGCCTAATGAATGATTTTGAGAAAGTGTCACGGGCACCATAACAGGTGTTTTTTTTCTTTTTAAAAGAGCAGAGTGATTAGAAGATTAAAGTTACCAACTACTCCACTGTCTTGCTTTCCTTTCTAAATGAATCCTTTGAATTCATACATTGCGCAGAAGTATCCTCAGAGACAAAAGGGGAAGAAGGGAGTTGGAGACTAGAAGCCTCTTGCTTTCTAACCAGCCAAAGCAAATTCTGTAGAGCCAAGAACTCTGTCCCTATAGGAAAGGTCATGAAGCTTGAGTGTTTGGTTCAATGCTGGACAGAGCTGTGATGAAGGGATGCAGATCAAGTCAGGGTTAATCCCAAGAGGAGTTGAAGAAAACCATTATTTGAGACAAAGCAAATTATTTTTCACCCATTCTTTCTCAGTGCAACCCAAGTGTTTAGTTCAAGAAACATCTTGGACAAGGTAATCCATTTCAAATCCACCTTCCAAATGCAAAGCAGTTAGATGAAATATGTAGCTGACTTTTACTTATTTGATTGAGTGAAATGGCTGCCCATCTCACAGCAGTAACTCTGGCCAGCATGCAAAGTTTAGCATGCAGAGTTAAAAACAATGGTATAAACAGTCTGAGCCATAGTGTCCAAGGTTACAACAAGCCTAGCTGATAAGAAAACATTAACCAGCAGAGCCATAATGCCGGGGGAAGTAGCTATATCATAGAAACTCTGAACACTTTTGATTGTTCTGCCCATCTCTGCTGGTACCTGAATTTGAGCCTCACTCCAAAGGAAAGACTTCAAGAGGACTATGGAAAGTCCAGCTATGACATTCAAATTGGTAGTAATGTATTGTTGGAAGTTAGTATCCACACCTCTCCTAGAAAAATGAAATATTCTAGGAAATATTAAAAAGGCAGAATATTATATTTCCTTGGATGAGAAAGGGAGCAGCATGTTTTTTTAGGAAAGAAGCAGACTCACTTTTAATAGCCCCCACCCTCCTCAATAGCCCACAGCAGAGGTCCGCACTTAAGAGATAAAGAGGTAGCTAGGTCTATTCATAAGCAAATGCCCTCACCCAAGATCCAACAAAGGTAGGATTTACCCATCTAGCAACAGAACTCACCACATGGCACCTGGGGACATTACATCATCCAAGCCTGGGACACAGACAACCTACAAAGTTAGCTAAGACCCCCCGCCCCTTCAGAGTCTGAAAGCCAATGGGATACATTTCTTATACAGGAACAGGAAACTCTGAGGTGGGGCCCAAGAGAGTGAATAAAACTCTGACACTCTCAGTATCTCAGCCCTTTTTTTTCTCTTCTTCACCCAACATCTTCAAGGCATGTGATCCCCTTTTCACCAGGACCTCAAAACACATGGTCCTGTCCACCATTAAAACCATCTTTCCAAACAGCCACCATGTTTCCAGCGTCTTTCTCCCACTTGGAACTGAACCCAGAAGGACATGTCTTCCAACAGTATTTACCCAAGTACAATCACATTTTTTCCTTACATGCCTTCCCCCACCCCATCAGAGCATTACATACACAAACATATTGGAATAAGGTTTTGCCTAGTACAGTGATGGCAATGGTGGGATTCAGCCAGTTCGCACCTATTCAGGAGAACCGGTTGGTAACTTTCTAAGCAGTTTGGAGAACCGGTTGTTGGGAGAAATCTCATTTTGTTTTTTTCCACTTCACAGGGCTAATCCTGTAAGGAAGGCAGGAAGGAAACATTATGGTGTTTTTAGCCTAATCTTTATTTCTCTGCTTACAGAAACCGCCTCTCCAGTTAACCCTTAGTACATTGTAACAGCTAAGGTGAAGCACCCATTGATGTGAGTGATGTTGAGTTGGCCATGCCCACCCAGTCACATGACCACCAAGCCCCACCTACCCAGCTGGTCGTTAAGGCAGAGAAGCGGTTGTTAAATTATTTGAATCCCACCACTGAGTGATGGTGAACCTTTTTGGCACTGAGTGCCTAAACCAGAATGCGCAGGCATGTGCTGGAGCACTGGAAACCCAAAGACCAGCTGGCCGGTGCATGCATGCTTGTTTTGGGGGCATTTTGGGGCGCATTTTCAGGCCAGCTTTTGAGGCATTTTCAGGCTGGGTTTTGGGCCATGTTTTTGGCCTGAAAAGGGCCCCCAAAATGGCCTGAAAACAGCCCCCAAATGGCCCCCAAATGACCTGGTTTTTGGCCGTTTTCAGGCCATTTTCTGGCAGTCCAGCACCCACAGAGAAGCTGGCAATGGCATGCATGCATGCCCACAGAGAGGGCTTTGTGTGCCACCTCTGGCATGCGTGCGATAGGTTCGCCATCATGGGCCTAGTACATTTCTTGGTCTTCAGCAATAGATTGTCATGGATTGCTTCCTGATTGCTTAACGATGGTAAACAATTATAGTAGCCATGTCTTACTGAAATAAAATTGGAGAGAGACGTTTAGTAAGAGAAATGTTTGTGGGGAAAATATTGTTTTGAGATTTCGAGCAGATTGTTGGACTCAAGAGCTCTTTGATCCCAAGCATATATCTTTTGTATCAAGCTTCAGTTAAAACTTTTAAGGCCCTAGAGCTGGTCCAGAGCTGAATTTTACTGTACTGTGCAAGAGAAATCAATCTTATAACCTTGGGCACTGAGAAGTATGAGCCCTTCTGTCTTGTGCCTAGCACCAAATACTGAAGTTCATCTACTTTGCTGTGTGAGAAATAATTTCTTTGAATAACTTTAGTTCAAATGCGTGCATCTTCTGAGAAAAGATGAAAAAGATTGCCTATCTTCAATCTTTTCACAATGCTGTCACTGTTGCTATGGTAATAAATGTGGTCATCCTCTAGGTGCTCATATAAGAACAAAGTTAAGGACATTAAGTGTTGCTTCCTTTGCTGTTACCTACTTTCAAGGTTTATATTATCATTACAAGGAATAAGGAACCCCAGCACAGTCTCAAACTGTTTATCCCTGCTAACTTTTCAGAAACTAATAAAATCAAAAGGAATAAAAGTACAGTTTTAACACTGCCTCTTTTTAATTACTCGTGAAAGTTTCTGACTAGAAAAATACTTTTTCCATAGTCACCTTTAAGGAGATTGGATTTTTTGACTTTTTCCTCAGTATACTGATCTCTTTATGCTGCACTACTATTTTGGAATACATAGAGATCGTCCATAATTAAATAAGTAGACTTTCAGGAAGCATAGAGGTATACAATGATAAGTTCTTGCTATGGCGCACCAGCTGCAAGCAGAGCTGACAGCATATTTGGACAGTGAGGAGGTCGGGGAGGAACATGGGCCAGTCCTGGAGTCTAGGGAAGGCTCTGTATCAGAGGCAGAGAAGGGGCCAGAGCTATATGCCAGCTATCAGCTACCTTCAGAGTCAGACCTCAGTGAGGCAGACAAACAGCTGGAGCCTGTTTCCAATGTGCGCATGCGCAGAGTTGCCGGATAAAGGGAACAGCTAAAGAACAGGGGTTGACTTGGGAGTAAGGCCACAGGTGGATGATAAATGGCCCTTCCCAGAGGAAATAAAAGAGGAGCGAAAGGGGAGTGGAATTTGCAGGGGACAATTATTTCACTTAATTAGTTCGTGATTTTCCGAGACTCCTTGCCAAGTTTTGCAGATATTAGCCCGTCAGCTCTCTATGCCAGATAAGGTTTGTGATTGTAAATCCTCCCTGGAAAGACTTTGTGAATGTGAATGAACAGAATTCACAGTAAACTAATAAAAGGGTTTTTTGTTGGGACCAGGAGTTTTCTTCATGCTCTTCAGAAGCCTAAGTCAGAACAGTTCCTTGTGTAGCTTTTGGGAGGTAAGAAGAACAACATAGAATGCTGCAGGCAAGAAAATCCATTACTATCAAAGAGCCTCTAAAGGCTTCCTGTCCACAGGAGAAGGTGGAACTGTGTGATCCATAAAACAGAGCAGTTTCAAGAAGAAGATAGGTGTTAGGATCAAGAAGTAGAGATTCAGATAAAACAGCCAGTAAGCAATGTTCATAGGAGGATTGGAAATGAAAAGACAAAACGAGGACAAATTTCTGGATCAAATACCAGCATGGTAGTAGATGGAGGTTGCCTAATTTGGTGGCCTCTGTGTATATTAAGATGGCAAGTCCAGTCCTACTGCATCCCACATATCTCTAGAGGGCAGCTAGTTGTGTAGGACTGTGTTGGAGATTCCTAAGTAACTTACTGGAACACAGGCTGAAGCTTCTTGTGGAGCTACCCAATAACCTGAAGATCAAGAAAGAAGCAGCAGCTCTAGCAGTTAGCCTTATTTATCCCTTATCCTGGAATGTTCCCTTTTTGATCAGATGATGGTTTTAAATACAAAAATGCCTGTGGACACTAAAGTGGGGGAGGCAAGAAAGTTATTCTTCCCATGAAACATAATTAACTATTTAAATGGTTGTCCCAAAGGTGCTTTTTCAGGTGGCAACTGGACTTTCTTGTTTTTTCTTTGAAGACGTTTCACTTCTAATCCAAGAAGCTTCTTCAGCTTTGACTGGATGGTGGGGAATGGAAAGCAAGGAATACAGATCCTTCCATTCTCCACCATTCAGTCAGAGCTGAAGAAGCTTCTTGGATGAGAAGCGAAATGTCTTCAAAGAAAAAAAAACAAGGAAGTTCAGTTGCCTCCTGAAAAAGCACCTTTGGAACAACCATGACTCGGATGACTGAGAATCTCTACAGACTTTTATACAAATGGCTGTTGTCATAGAGAACCTTTTCAAGGGACAGATTGATACTAGCCTATTCGAGCCACGTACATACAGTGAAAAAGTTTGGAAAACTTTATTATCTGGATCCTGTTCATCTGATGTGCATATTTGAAAGCGAGAAATGAATAAAGCCACAGCGCCTCCAAGAAGAACCCAACAAAGCGGTGATTGTATGACTTGCTATCCCTTCACTATTTCTAGGCTTGGACCTTTGGGATTTTGCATAGCGTCCACTGATTTGAAGTGCTCTCTTTTGTCTTTCCTACAGCAGGTGAGGAAGAGGAGGATGAGTCTGGTGAGGAGCGCTTGCCCTCCTGCTTTGATTATGTCATGCATTTCCTGACTGTCTTCTGGAAAGTGCTCTTTGCCTGCGTGCCGCCGACAGAGTATTGCAATGGCTGGGCCTGCTTCATTGTGTCCATCCTGATCATTGGGATGCTCACTGCCGTCATTGGAGATCTGGCCTCCCACTTTGGCTGCACAATTGGCCTCAAGGATTCTGTGACTGCCGTGGTCTTCGTGGCCTTTGGTACTTCAGTCCCAGGTGAGACTGGGAGGGACTCTTTGAAATAGGAGGGTGGTACCACAATGGCTTCTAACAATTTCACCACTAACAATGGTTGCAAGCTATCATGGAAGGTTACATGCAGCTTCCTAGAAATGTCCTCCAGAAATGATGTTAAAAAAGTAATCCAGGCTTAGACAAAGAGCAGGGGCATCTGAAAGCCAGTTACAGAATATTTATAAGGAAAAGCAAGAAGAAGAAATTACATTTGCCTTACTTAACTCCTTGGAGGGCTGTCAAGTAGGAAAAATAATGAAGAAATATTTTGCATCACCCATCAGCCTTTTTGGAATTGATGATGTATTGCGCCTTCCAAACATATGTATGTATAAATAAAAAAAGAATGTCAGCAAATGATAAAGTGCCTCATACTTTATCTCAAGAAGTCGGTTACAAATATTCCAGCAGAACTTCTTAACAAAGAAACTGTTAGAAATGATTTCTTTCTTTGAAATATTTCAGGTAGGACTTGTTTGTGGAGTAGGGAGCATTTCAGCATTTTCCTTCTTTGCACAAAATTAACACCCTGGATTGTGCATATTACTACCAAATTAGGTTACAAATAAGTCACTTCCACCAAACAGGTTTCTAATTGTTTTCATCCTTATGCTAAAAAAAACAACAACACTTTAAGATATTTTATGCTAAATGATAGCATATAAACACGGCTATCATTTAACAAGCCCTCTTGCTACTAAGGCTAAATGCTACATATAATTTCAATGGTCAAGGCAGCCAAAAGCCATGGGACACAATCCAGAATCAATGTATTACTTTTGTCCTTTGCTCCACTGAATATAAATAAGGTTGCACAAGCTGCCAAATGCTGTTCCTCAGCATCATCTGTGGTCCCACTTGCTATCTTGCTGATTTTGACACCACCCACTCCTGCAGAAACATCTGCTTCTTTAAAAAAAAATGTGATTTGATTAAATTTCAAACTGCAAATAAAAAGTAAGCAAACCAGCAAAAACAAGTGCCAAAAAGAGGAAAAAGCATAGATGTAATATAGATGATTGTTAATTTCAGAGTACAAGTTGATGTATTTTTTTTTCAACCAATATCTGTACCAGAGAAAGTTGGAAGCAACATACTCATCCCTCCACAAACACTTCTGCACATCTTCAGTTTACCTGTCAAGTCTCTCTGGGTGTAAATGGAAGTGTGAAAAGGAAACATTTGCATGCATGGTTCTCCTTTGGAATACAAATACACATAAAAAGAGGAGGTTATCATGACTGGAGCCTCTTCAGGCATTCATCTAAACCAGTGTTTCTTAACCGTGACAACTTGAAGATGTGAAGATGCAGGGTTTGCTGGGGAACTCTGGCAACTGAAGTGCACATATCTTCAAGATGCACAGTTGAAAATTGCCGATCTTAACAAATGAACAAATAAAGAAACACCAGAGGCCTTGAAAGTGGGTGGAGGAAAGATATGCATGTTATTGCTAATTCCACTTGCTAATCTCCCCAAATCTCACATTGGAGGTCTAAGAGGGACTTTTAGGGTTATTTTTCCATGAATGGAACAGAATAAAATCCCCAGCTGAATAGAGACAAGCGGGTAAGAGTGTAAGTGTGCAGCCCTCCTTTCTACTTCTTGGTGAGCTGTGATGGGACCAGTGTACACATCCCACCAACCAGGTTGGGAAAGATAAGTTAACACCTTGTTCTCTTAATGAGATATCACTGGTAGGATTGATTGGACTAAGTACTCTTCAGCACACCTCTTTCATGTGATCTGTCATCTGAGCACACCGATTCATCATCTTAATGCTGTTGGCCCGTTCTTTTTCTGCCCTAAAAAGTATCCCCATCTTCTTCATGACAGGACCATGTTTGTCTCCTTTATATTGGAAATACTGAACTGCTACTCATGCATTGGTTTCTTTTCCCTTCCAGATACTTTTGCTAGCAAAGCAGCCGCTGTTCAAGACATTCACGCAGATGCTTCCATTGGCAACGTCACAGGCAGCAACGCAGTCAACGTCTTCTTGGGCATTGGACTGGCATGGTCGGTAGCTGCCATCTACTGGGCTTCTCAAGGAGAGGAGTTCCACGTGTCAGCTGGCACTCTTGCCTTCTCTGTGACACTGTTCACCATTTTTGCTTTTGTCTGCATCAGTGTGCTATTGTACCGAAGACGGCCTCATTTTGGAGGAGAACTAGGAGGCCCTAAAGGGTGCAGACTTGCCACAACTTTGCTTTTTGTGAGTCTGTGGCTATTGTACATTTTATTTGCTACCCTGGAGGCCTATTGTTACATCAAGGGGTTCTAAGTCACGGAGAGCTTTCACGCCAGAAGGGAGGCCTTCTTCTCCTCTGATACCTCATTGAAGACCAGTCCTAAGAGTGTTGTCTAACCAGGAGTGGACACTCACTATCAATTTTCCAGAACTGCCCTGGTTATAGGATGACCAGGCTTCAAGAAGGGCAAAATTATCATGATAAAAAGTCAAGACAGATATTAAAATAAAGCCAACAGCATCAATCATTCAGTCAAATCAGAAACATCAGCAGTTCCTAAATACCCATTTGTTGAATTCTGCTGTAAGACTCCATGATGTTCATTCCTCCACTTTACAAAATATCATATATTCAGATAATGATCTTATAAAGCATTGGGGATGGGAGTGTTTTTTTTTTAATTTGGGGAGGGTGAATCTTACCTGATCTATTTTCTGTTTTTAACACAAAGAAAGGGGCTGAAAAAAATTACAGGTTCAACTTTCATGCCACATGCTGGAGCTGGAGTTGAAAAGGCTCTATATTTTTTACTCTATATGAACATTTAATTATCATTTTTCACTTTGTTTTAGAGTTATAGTGCTATTGTATTTTAAGTGCAAACATAACCCATATAGACATGACACCAACACGTATGGACACACAGATGAAAACTACAGTTGAAAACTGGAGCATGTAGCAAGTAATACACCTTCCTGGGCTACCCCCCCCCCCCAAAAAAAAAGAACAAGGAGAACAAGCTGTAAAGATATTCTATGTAATGTGTATATTTTGAATAGGGCAAATCTCTTTGTGTAATTAACATAAAAGCTTTTAGCACTGCAGAATTAAATATATATAAATATATATAGTTATTTATACACAGCAAATAAATCAATGCAAAGGATAAAACTGCAGTGTGAAAAATACAAGCAAAAGAAAACCAGCACAAGTTTATTACTATTGTCATTATCATCATCGTAATCGTCTTCATCATCATCATGATCAATTTGTTCCATATGTGGAAAAAGAAGATTCTTTTTAAAATAGAAAATAATGTATGTAAATACAGTGCTCACACTTTTTGAGTGTTAAAATATCACTCAAAATCCTTCGAGAATTATATTGCTTTGCTTCGACTTTGCTCTTAAAAACACTAAATGAAGTTTTTTTTAAAAACGGCACTATCTCTATATGTTTTTTCAGATTGGATAATGGAATCCTTCTTTAACAAAGATTGTTTTTTAAAAAGCAGCATTCAAATCTAATATTAAAACATAGTTTGATGTTAAGTTGAGACGGTTGTTAGAATGCAGTATTGCAGACTAATTCTGCCGACTGCCAGTTCGATCCTGACTGGTTCAAGGTTAACTCAGCCTTCCATCCTTCTGAGGTCAGTAAAATGAGGAGCCAGGTTGTTAGAGGCAATAGATTGACTCTATAAACCGTGCAGAGAGTACCGTGAAGCACTACGAAGAAGTACAGAAGTCTTAAGTGCTAATGCTATTGCTAAGTCTCCTGTTCATGTATAAAGAGCACATACTTTTCTTCCCCCAGTGTGATTATAAACAGGAGATTGGAAAACGTCTAGTGTTAGTTAATTATTATCATAATGGGACAAATCAAAATTTAGTTTTGAACTATGCCTGTCCAAAGTAGCTAACTGGAATGTAATTTGCAGCGGTGGCTTGTTCAGGTGATAAGAATAGAGAGGGATAATACGAGTAGCGTAACTATATTTTAATAGATATGGAGTGAAGATGTCTGATTGTGATTGCCCATTGCCAGCATTAGCCAAGAATGAAAGTAAATTATGAAACAGATGCAGTGCATTATTACTAATCTACATTTTGCCATTGCTTGGTGTTCCAATGAGATAATTTATGAAGCCCTTTCAAGATACAGGGCAATCTTTCAGAGGATGCTACTAGAGAGTCAGTGCACTTTTTTTTGTAAAAATGAACATCAATCTTAAGGGTTTGCAGAGGGATCTACATTTTTTTCCCCTAAAGAAAACACTGGTGATAATTTTCCAGATAACATCATGCATCCATTTTACTTGCAATGCAAGTGTCTTCTTGTTTCTTTTATGTCCCTGTTTCTTGGCCTCTACAAGACTGAAATGTTATGATCATAATGGCCACCATTAATCATATCTACAACTTTCTGGGAAAGAAACACCTTTTGATTTCTCCCCCCACCCAACTCTGTGTGTGTGTATCTTTCACTAACTGCAGACTTAAATATAAGATTGATACTAAAAATTATATTTGTCTCGGCACTTTCTCACACATGTTTATGCACATAAACCCATTTCTTAAGCGTAAGGAGCAACTGTGGAGCTATATTTTTTTTTTAATTTAACAAAAATAGTTCTTTTTCATTTAGAAATACAAGGGTTGTAAAGGAACACATTTTTTTCTTGGATTTTGAACTCCTTGGCAAGTGAGCAAGAAAAGTGAAGTATCTGTATTTTGTACCTTTTTATATATTTTTTAAAAGGCAGAAAAGAAGCTTATGAGCATCATTTGAGACTGATCCTATATAGAGGCAGTGACCCAAAGAATACATTCCTGAGCATGGAAATAGATGCAAAGTAATTTCAAAGAGTTTTGGCACTGATTAAAAAAGGGTTAACCAGAGTTTTTATGCCAACTATATTCCACTTTTATTGCCTTATTCCATATAAAAAAAGGAATCCCTGCCGATTTTATTCCACTAGTCGTTGCCAACTGTAGGGGGAGGTGCTCATTTCCATTCAAGAACTGTTGAGCTAGCGCTGTTTGAAGATGTTTCCACAGCCATGTGGCCATCATGAAGTCACAGAATGCTGTTGCCTTCCCAACTAAGTGGTACCTATTCATCTACTTGCATTTGCATGATTTCAAACTGCTAGGTTGGCAGGAATTAGAACAAGGACAGGAGTTCACCCCATCACATGACATGCGGGTCTCAAACCTGGACTGTCGGCTTTCCAACCAACAAGCCCAGCGTCTTCACTCCCAAGCCATTGCCCCACCTCCTATTCCATATATACAGGCATAATTGATTCTCTCAACCTTCAAGTTGGAGGGAAATGCCATCCCCCTAAGAAATTGCTGGAAAAAAAAGATTAATTTCAAAAAAAAGTGTGGCTCTTCTCTACTGGTTACAGTATGTGAGACAGACAGGATGTACCACATTGCCAAAGCGTGATGTCTCACACTGTGGTTCTTAACAGTTGCAGAACAGCAGATACCTGTGACTAATGGCATAACTGGGATTCCTTCTGGGTAGAATCACTTTGTGCCCAGCACAGGTATTGTTATCCCTAAGCCAGGCATATTTTGCAGCGGGTGGAAACGCTTTCCCCAACTTTCATTTGCTTGTTACAATCCATTTTAATGTTACCTGCTTGAATTCTTTAGGCTAGGGAGGAGGCAGATCTAAAGTCTATTTTAATAAATCTCTTGGTTCTTGCTGTACAAAACATCCTGTACAAATCCTTGACTTTATAAATTATTACCTCTTCTGGATATAAAAAGAAGGAGGAAGATTGATATAATTTTGAGGAGTCATAGTCCGCTAGAATCAGTGTGATTTAATGATATGTTGTTGCAGCGTACCTTAATACTAATGATCTTTTCACTGTGGGGGGGGGGGAGATCTGTCCTTCCTTTGATTTTTTCATTTATGTCTTTGGGTTTTATTTGTCACATTTGTGTTGTACCTTTCCTCAAAGAAGCCCGGGACAATACAAATGAAGCTTTGTTTTATCCTTATATCCTTGCAGTGATCTTGCAAGGGGAAGTTAGCCTGAACTGTCTGTGTGGTTGCTAAGCATTGCATTTGGGCTTGCAGTCCAGTTTCACAAGTCATTTGTTCAGTGCAGTGAATATTGTTGTCTTTCCTGACTCAGATAGGAAGTTTCAGCTCACAGCTCTTAGTGATGAGCTATATACAGGCAAGAGCCTGTCTATTGGTTTATTTAGTGTTTTCGGTCATCAAGGTTTTCAAGTGAGTTGTACTTGAATTCTGCCTATCTCCCCCATTCCTGGTTGATACATGGCCTTGGTACAATAAAGCCTGTTAACATGGATGGTTTCAACCACATTCCTATCTGCTTTTTCATGAAATCTACCTTTTGGGTAGGGAGAACTGAAGGTATCACCATGTCATGTTTACCATATACATGTACAGGAAAGATCTGGTCTAAGCTGACTTTTTCCACAAAGTGTTTCATTGTTTTATCATTTTATTTTTAACTCATTAAAATGCAAGAGAAATAAGCTGAAATTTTGTGCTGCCTCTTTTTCCCAGTGAAGGTGATTTCCATTTCTTTCCAAACTTGCGCAGGGAATTTTTTTAAGTCCTTTACGTTTTAATTCCATTTTATCCCTCTTATTTATCCTTACTTATTTTGCAGCAAGAGAAATGACCGAGATTAAAAAAGGGAAAACAGCATGTAAAGTAATATCTTAAAGCCTAAATTATTAAAAAGAGAAATGTCTGCAAAGACAGTTCAAAGCTTACTAAACCCCAAGATTATTAAAATGTTTAACCAAACAGCAATTTCCTTATATAACACATAAACAAGGACAATCTTGGAGTTAACAAATCTTTGTTGACCAAGTCTTCTTGGTCAATGGGAATCATTGTCCAGTACCTTTATCTGATAAGCACCTTGATTGAGAGGTTTGCGTGTCCCAGTCCCCAATCCTGCTTGAGTAAAGCGGCTGATATCCATATCCTATTTGGGCCCGGATCAAAAAAGAAAACATCATTCATTCAGACAAAATGGGCTCAAGACAAAAAGAAGCTACTTACCACTTCTCAGTTTTGAAATATCTCTGTGTATTGAATCATCCTTTAAAAGCTGTGTTCATTGTTTTTCTCAACTCAATATATTTGAATCTATGAATTAATTCTGTGATCCTTTATATCTCCTGAAGAATTTACTTTGTATTGGAGGCTTTGTATTGAAGACAATTTTTCTTTATTTTTTGCTTCTCCTTGCTCATTCCTTTAAAACGGCCTGATTTTCTAGAGGAAGAGAAGCTGCATCAGTGAGATTCGTTTCACTTCCTTAATGCTAACAGACAGATCACTTGAGTAACATCCCAGCTGCCAGAAATTTGGCAGTTTGAATCTCACCAGGCTGAAGGTTGACTCAGCCTTCCATCCTTCCGAGGTCAGTAAAATGATGAGCCAGATTGTTGGGGGCAATATGCTGACTCCGTAAACCGCTTAGAGATGGCTGTAAAAGCACTGAAGCGGTTATTGCTAAGTGCCCATGTATATGAACAGATATGGTTCGAAGTTTAGAGTTACCACATTGAAATGGAAGGTGCATTTCAAGAAGTAGGTAGGTTGTAGATCTTATGCACATTGTTTGATGCTTGTGCTTTAGATTTTATGCTTTTGTTGGAATCGTTTTTGTCGTTTGGAATTTTTATTCTTTTATGTTTATAGTTGTGGACTGGTCAGAGTTTATGATTGGAGAGGCATATGAATGAAATAAATAGCTCCGTGAAGGCGAAGCTAGGGCACGCGTGCCCAGTGTCATGCAAAGCCATATCACATGCCATGCACGGCCTTGCCTGTTTGTCTTCCAGGTTTTTGGTGCGCATGCGATGATCAGCTCTCCTTCACGCGCGTGGCAGTGCCAAAAGCTGGTGTGCGCATGCACGCTGGCCAGCTAATTTTCAGATGCTTATGCGCACCAGAAGCCAAAAGTTCCAGTTTTCCGGTTTGCGATCCCTTCGC